AAAGAGTGGCATACACATCCACTTTTTTGAAGCAACCAGAAACACACTCACATAAATAAAGAGAATTATAAAGCTACTAAATGAATAAAGAAATAGAGCTGTCTGCAATTGCTAGCAACCTTGCAAAGCCAGCCCCAGGTTCAAGTTTTAATGCTCAGCAAGCAAGATGCTTAGCCATAACTACATTAGCTATACATGTCCAAAGACACAGATAACTGGAAGCTTTACTTTCTTTTCCCAAGTAACCTACTAAACTGCTAATGGTAAAAAGCATACATTTGTCCCAAACATTTCTGCAAGTGGCAAGAGATGTAGCTGCTCCTACTACATGATAATGAAACACGGGCCTAAAACAAAAAAAGAAGGTTTTTTTTTTTTTAAAAAAAAAAAAAAAAAATCACACCTAGCAGAGCACACACATGACCTGATGTTCTCTGCAGCCCTGACAGAGGCTGTTTACCTCCCTGAACAATCCCCGGGCACCACAGTCCGTTTTGTTCAGTATTACAAAGCTCTGAAGTTGGTATAAGCATGAATGCAGGCAAAAAGAGGTACTGATTGTCTTGTTGACGCTTCTAGCTTCTGCTAATTACTCTGAGGTTTTCTGTAAATTACAACTATCTGTTCTCTGCTTCTACCATCTCTCCCCTATGCAAGTATGGCCTTAAGTCACAGGATAAAAAGCAGCTGTTTAAGTGGGGTTTACTACTCTACTGAGTACTGCAAAGAAAGCAAGATTATACTATCAGTTTCACTACATGTGGCTTCAATAGTGATATCACAAACATTTGAGGAAGGCTACGAACCTTTACAGTTGATATCAAAGCTTATTTCTCCTTTGTCCATGGAATCCAACAGCTGTTTAACTTCTTCAGCATTTCCATTTCTAGCATCATGGAGAAGCTGCTGCTCTGCTTCAGTGCTCATCTCTAACAAAAATACGAAAGAATCAATTTTGCAATCTCGTATGCTGCTATGTAAGTTATGGCTTAATATTGTATAATTTTTCTCCCTTATTTAGTACTAACACTGGCATGAGAAAGATAATTGTTTCCTCTGTGGAACACATTTAACGTGCAAGCTGTTTTCAACAGTCCAGCACTCAGTCATGCCACTAAGAGGAATTAAAATTCCTCATACAAAGCAGTTAAATAACAAAATACCCATGTTTTCTTGCTTCTCTGTTTTCTAGGTTCTAAGTGTGGCTTAGTGGGAGTTGGAACTGTATGCCACAAACGAGGCAAGCTTTGCCCCAAGCACAGCTAGCAAGCATTTACTTTTTCCATGTAAGGTTTTCACCTTTACCCCTTAAGGTTTCCAGAGGCAATCATGGAAAAAAATAAATTATCTATGCCTATTAGCCCAAGTATTTCTTCAGAATTAACTGAGACTTTATTTTGGCTCCTGACACTGGGGAACAGAATCTTGTTTGACGTGGAGGTCCCAGATACTCATCAGTGTCTGGAACTCTCAGCTCTTGAACTCAGATACCTGATCCCCTCCACCCTTGACTCGAAGGGGAGTCAGATACTCAAGCAACTTTGTAGGTTTGACCTTTAAGAAACACAGTAGTGCAGTATAAAGAAGTTAACACACAACTGTAAAACATCACTAGTTAATTCTCATCATTGCTCTTGAACTACAAAAAAAAAGGAGTATTTACATCTTTCGAAGAAGGGAGAAAACAAAACCTGTTAGCATTGCTATTTTTACAGCTCTCTACTGGACAGGGAGCCTTAGACCTTTGAGCAAGTGGTACTGCTACTTACCAGGTCTCTTGCAGAATACACTTAGTAAGTGATGTCTTAATCACCCACACTGATACGAATCACAATCTGAAATTGTTTTGCCTTTTTTTTTTTAATGTTGTTACAACAATTAGACCCAGATGCAGCACAGCTCAGCACAGGCAAAAAAAATACCCATCACACCCACAATTTTAATGTCCTATTTAAATACATTGCTTTTAAGAGGTGTCAAGAAGCAATTTTAAAAGCAGACTCAAAACACTGTGCTGCAATACACAATTTATTGCTGCTAAAAACAACAGTAAAAGAAGAAGTTGTCCAAATTCAGTGTCTCCAGTTCAGCATCTTCACCTGACACACTATGTTTACCAGAATCTAGGTTTCTAAAGTCAGTTAATGATTGCAAAGAACATTACTGGCCTCACATAGTTAGCTTTCCTATACTAGCAGAGCTTTTGATTGGTTGCACAAACTGTTTACACTGTGCTGTACTGGACAGGCAGCTTGATTGCACCACACATACTCACAGCTAAAGCAGATGCAGGGAGCTCTTGGACTACTGCAAGATGAGAAGCCACTCAGCAAGAGACAGTGAGAACACTGGGTAAGCCACAAAAAGCCTGTAACAGGGACAGACCTTGTAATATTCAGGACTGACACAGAAGCTTACAACAGGACAGACTACCAAAGCGTTAACAATACAGGGAAGAGAGTTTTCCCCTCCCTTCTGCTCAATCAGCAAAGGGAGAGAGGGAATCCATTTTCGAAGAATTTGACAGAGACCAAACAAGCCCCTTCTAGCATGTTTCAGAAGAACAGACTGGATCAGTCACCTGCAATCTATCACTGACACAGGATAGAAATGCCTTTTCTGGCAGTGGTTAGACTCACTCTTGTCTGTGCCTGCTTTTCAGTTCTACTAGAAAAACAAAACAAAATAAAACAGTGCTAGTCCTCCTAGTAATCCTTCAAGCCCCGAAACTACCTTCTTCTTTAAACAGGAGTCTGTCCACTTGTCTGAGGCAACACAGCACAGTTTGTTATTACTGGGGGAGGTATAATTTTCCTCAATGAATCAGTTCTACCAGTGTCTAGAGAAAGATGAAAATCAAGTATGTTAATGTACTATCAGTCTGTGATACTTCCTCTGAAGCCAAGTGATACTGTCTCAGGGGGACACAGAATGCAGCACTGAGAATCATACAGACAAAAGCCAAGAGGATAGTTAGAGCTCATTTTGGTGGCCTGCCCATCAGGGATGAGGGGTGGGAAAGCAAAGCTCATCCCTCATTTTCACCCCCTCCCACACAATATTTCTTTAGTGATCTCTCAAATATCTCAGATGAGAGCAACACACTCCTATCATTGTACCGTATCATTTGTCAACATCCTACATACACAGCAGGTACGAATAGCAACACATTTTCAACATTAAGAACCTGCAGTTTCCATTTGATATTGATGAGAAGGAAGAAAAGATTGCCTGGGGAGGGAACCAAGAAGCTGATCCAAATGCATAACTCTTGTATGCAGCAAGGCCAGTTACGTAAATGATCACAATCTTAAACAGCTTAAGATACATAGAAAGCTGAATCATTGTGTAAAATTACTTGCATGATTTTCCTCTCCCCAAAGTCATTAGGTTAAAATCACCAATTCATTTGTACTCTTAGAGCAAGTATTAGCAATAGAGTGACATGCATAGTAACGCAGTTAAGGTAGGTCTCTCTGCTGGTTTAGTCCCCAAAGACTTTGCTGTTTAGGCCAAGCCTCCAATTTCAAATACACTTTGTAAGCTTGAAGCATGCAATGATGCAGAAGAATGACTGGCTATTAGTCATAGTTAGGATCATTCACATAAAAATGTTCCTACAATTGGGGCTGGAAAGTGAATCTGTGTGCAGTTACTCATCAGACAAGTGATACAGAACCAGAAGTTTTAGCTAACAAGCTAAATGAAGTGCCTAAATGAAGCTGGCACCAAAGGGGCTCTTAACAGAATTTAGCATAATCTTGTAAATACTGTTTTAAGCAACACGATTGGCTCTATGATGGAGATGAGCAACCACCAACAGAAGTCTGAGTGGGAAGTTTAGAGTACAGGAGGAAATCAATGCATAGGCACTCAAATGCTATGTGCTCACAACTGCACTTCGTACCCCTGCGCTCCCCTGCAGACGAGAGTTTATTTGGTCACATAACCCACCACCAAGAGAGCTCCAAAATCCCCACCCGTTTTGATGTTTGCAGACCATTAGCACTGAGGGAGAAACTTAGCAGTTCAGTTTGGACTTACCAGACGTTAAGATACTACTAGCAGGATAATCTATACGAATTGTGCTGCCTACACGCAAAGCTACTAGGCACTCAGAAGAGCAGACATCTGTTCAGTCAGTGGTGTTGTCATTATTACCTTATTCCATGAATCATCCCATATAGGTTAAACTGCCTTTCACAGCTCATCTTTATGCCTTCTGTTGTTGAAAGGCTTGTATGGTAGTCTATACAGCCACTGGTATCACAAGAACAGTATTTAGTGTCTCCTGGACAGCTGAGATGTGACTGCAAGGCACTTCCATCTCATTAGGACTACTGAAACACTACTTGACTGCTAACTGAATCTTATCCTTTAAGAAGGTATAAAAAAAAATGGCATTGAGATGCTCTGCTTTTATGTTCTTCTGTAAGACGTATGCCAGAGTGACCTTCTCACGCTACTGCAGCATCTGCCTTCACACAGGGTTTGTTTCCAACACAGAGCAGAGGGCCCAGGTTGCCATTCTGCCTGCGGGCCTGCTTAAGGCAGTTTTGCAGAGCACTTAACCATGAAAGGCCACCTAACTACGAATATACAGACCACCAACTTTACCCAACTGCTAGGAAAGAGCTGCTTTTCTCACAAAGCAGCCTATGAAGATTCAAAGCGCTATCCCTGACCGTGGGGCAGCACTATTGGTAAGACGCACTTGCTTTTACTTTACTTGCTTTACTTCTCCTGCTGAGGCCTCCTGCCATGTACGCAGCCCAGAACAGCAACAATACACCCTACCCAGCACATGGCTGGTTTTCAGACAAGCAGATGAAGCAGTACTGGCACTGCCCCATTTAACGTTAAGGCTCCAAGTCAGCAGCCACTGGCTGCATAGGAAGGTTTCTATTTGTGACAAACAGGTTGGTGAAAAGCACAGCACTGGCTAGTATTTCAAGAGCTCGCCTTCTAGTAATGAAAACTAGACTCCTGTACCAAAGGATGATACTTGCTCAGGAAGACTTACATGTTTCTCCTTCTAGCAATGAAAACTAGATTCCTGTAGGAAAGGATGATACTTGCTCAGGAACACTTACATGCCCCAGCATGCGCACGTTATGATGTGATGCTTGTAAAGGAGGGCAAAATGCACCAAACTGCACAAACAGACAGAACTTGTCTACAAACCAACACAACACACTGTGATGGGAGCTGCTCCAAGAAGAAAGAGTTGCAGTCCTAGAAGCATGAGTGAGGTTATCTAAAAGTAGTTATTTTAATCTTCAGTTAATGTTCTAGAAGTTAGAAGCTGAACATGCTTCCATGATACTCACGATACTCCGTGTGAAAGCACCACTTATCTAAAACCCAAGTTACTGTCTGCTCAGTAGCAATTAACACAGGGGCAGGAACACAGTATGTGCTCAATATCAGTGCCAAGGTAATAGCTATTCAAACTAATCCTCGTTCTTAGGCGCCTCCTGGCTGTTTTCTGCACAGTTTATTTCTGTTACGTCAAAGACTTTCCTTCAGCCCAGGAGCTCTGAACAAGCTTACCACGGCCAGGGCAAGGTCTCACCGGATCAGCAGGCGAGTGCAGCTCCGTGCGTGCAAGAACTCCAGCAGAAGTGACGGAGTTCTCTGCGCGCGCCTGGAGTCGAGCAGCTCGTTTCGGTACCGATAATTAAACACTTTTTTTAAGGCGACAGGCTCATGCGTCACAGCGACCGCACTTCTCGCCTACGGGAAAGGTGCGCTTAGACCCAGGGCGCGACCACCGAGCCCGGAGGCACCGGCCACACGCCCGCAGCTCCGCCGCGGCTACGGGCCTGTTGCAGGGATGAGGAGGAGGAAGAAGGGCCACCCGCGCACCCCCGCGGGCACTCACCCCGCACCCCGAAGGCCGGAGCCATGCCCCCGGCTACCCAGAC